GACTTCAAATCGCCCACGCTTTACTGGTACCGGTGACGAGCGAAATGGAGACGCCATAGGCCAACAGACGACCGGGTCAATAACAGGGGGACAGCGACTATCGGAAACTTTCAGTTGACTAAATAGCGGAATACAGATGTCGTGGCTTCCCGGAGCTATGGAGGACTCAGGCGAGGGAAAACAAAAGGACAGCAGACGAAGGGACACGGATGGAGGCAGAAAAAACGGTCCAGAAGGTAAAAATAGCAGAAAGGATTGACGAGGACGGAGGTGGGTTACGGGCCGGCCGCTCACTGTCAACGCAGGGACAATATGACAAACACATTTACGACAAGGCCGATTTTTCGATTGCTGCCGTTTCGGACCAGAGCTTTTTTTGCTTCAAACTTACGACCCACCCGGAATCGTATTGTCTGAAATGGTAGAATGGAAGTCTTTTTGGAAAAAATTCAGAACCTGTCTCCGAGAATTTCTCACAAGGGTATCGAAGGCGCTTATTATCAAAATATGATTTATTTCAGTTTTTGGCATTGAGGTTAATAAGGTTGCGGTAGTCATTTTGTACGCACCCAACATCATGAATTCTTATGAAAAATTGTATTTTGGAGTTATTTCACGTGCTGTTCATGCTTATTGTCCACTCCACTTTGTTCACTACTTTCTGCGGCTACGGTAGCAGTACGGTAGAAATTTTGTAAAAATCAAGAAACTGATGTAAGAAGGCGGTATTAAATTTTGAGACTATCATTCTTGTAATCAGCATGCTACAAAACCTATATATGTAAGCGTTGAGATTCCTGGAACAATGCAAAAATCAATAAAGTCAGTAAAATCGATAATTTTTTGATGGTCTGACATCAGTCTCGTGCCCTCCCGCATTTCACGTGCGTGTAAACTTGAATTTTCAAAAACAGCGCCACTCTGCGAAAAATTTGTGCCAAAGTCTGTGCTTATCTCCATCTACGGTATACCTACTGTAACATCGCATTACAATTTCCCGAACCCGGATCACTCTCTGGCTGTAGCTTCGTCAGGATGTTTCCAGTTATGCGCCAGAACCCTGTAAAAATCCATCGTAAATTGACAAAGCTAAAGCTCCAGGAATTTTACGACCCACTGATGGGTCGTGTTACCCGAAACGGCAGAGCACCTGCGATCCACCGGCAGGTCGTATTGTCGTGAGTGTGTTTATGTCGCACACTAATGGTTAGCTCACACTTCGCGGCATACGCGACGTAATTTACCAGGTGTACATTATACTTTGGATTGATGATTATTCGATTATTCGGATAAATCATTCGAATGCGAATGATTCAAAAATTCGAGTATTCGAAAATCTGAGATTTCGAATAATATTCGATAGTCGAATATTCGAAGATTTTCATTTTCGAATATTATTCGAAAGTCGAATATTCGAAATTCTCAACTTTCGAATATTATTCGATAGTCGAATATTCGATGGTCATTAATTCGGTCATTCAATGTCCATGGAATATTCGAATATTCGATGGGCACCGAATATTCGAAAATTCGATAAGAATTGACTATTCAAAGTTCAAAGTATCGAATATTCGGGAATTCGATAACCACAACATATACGGCGTGTCCCAAGGATAGTTACAAACTGTTAATCGCTAATACCTTGTAGTTTTTTGGTATCGGTATCGCTAATACCTTGTAGTTTCATGATTTTGTAGCGATGTTAAATTAGACCCCCTACCTAAGCGGTGACTGAAGTTCGGAGCAAAAAAGAGGGTCTGGTAAGCCTGAAAATTGCTCCCAAAGTAGCCCATCTTACGGTATCTTTTGGATCTTGAATTGTCCTAATGATTTGATTTCTAGAATTTGAACACCAGGATCCGGGGGTCTGCCGCGCTATCAGGGAGAAGATCATTGTAGTTGTGGTAGATCGTTTGATATCTGGCGACCAAGTGACGAAGTTTCCCTATTGATTTTAGGATGAAATCGTTAATCTCATAGTTCGAACAGCACATTCAAAGCAGAATCTCTCCATCGTTGACTATCCAGCTGTTGCGGAGTTTGCATCTGGAAAACGGTTGCAATTTGTTATCGATGCTGCCATCTCAAGCCCACCATGGTTGGTCTAAACTCGGTGACACTATTCAATGTCATGTTTCTATATAGGGCCGGGAGTGTAGTTCGCTATTTGCACGGGGTGTCCATATGCTATGGTGAGAGGAAAGCCGCTGAAATTATTGGCCGTTTTATTGTTGGATGCAATGAAGCTCAATCGGTCTGTTTCTGTTTTGCGTATTTTCAGAGCCAGTGATTGCGTCTTTCAGCTCTCTGCCCTCTGCGCTTTTCTTACAACCATAGTTCCGTATTACCCGAAAGTGATGAGTATTGCGTATGAAGATTTGACAAATGTAATGTCAACCGTAGACAACGAGAAGAAGGAATGTCGCCCGTACAGCGAATTCGAACTGCAAGGCAGAGAACGCATAGCGCACAAATCATGAGTGCAGGGTCCCGCAACGACTCTGCGTCTCTACCTTGCATGCATCTCGTACTCACGAGCCTACCGTAAGATCCGAGCCACTTTCGGGGCTTCAGGCCTGGTAGCTTCGCTTTTGCTCCGAACATCAGTCATGGCTTAGGTAGGGGGACTACTTCAACATCGACACAAAACCCGGCACCCATCTTTTTGCCGGGCTGCCTTCTCTTCACGTCATCACTGAACCGTCTTTTCGTCGTAAATTGAAACATAAAAAATGTCTATTCCTGATACTTGCCAAAAGAATTTATTCTTTTGGTAAGTATCAGGAATGTTTTGGTTTTGATTAAGTATCAAGATGTTTTGGTTCCTCACAGGTAGTCTCACCAGGGTCAAGCTTGTGATGCGACTGTCGCAACGGGGGGTCATAAAGAGGGTAGCCAAGGTGGGGGGGGGGGGGGGGGTCGTAAGAGGAGGGAGTTAGGCTAAAATACCCTAAGCTTGAAAGGGAATCAAAAAGCAGATAATCAGTTAGTTCTATACAATAAATCTACAAGAAAGTGGAAATCAGAGTAAAAAGATAAAAAATCTGTAAAAATTCTCAAAGAAAAACATTTACAAGAGCTCAAAACACTTTTGAAAGATGTATGAGTTGATCGAAAAGCTAAAGGTACCAATTGCCCTGAAAATCTTGCTTCTGAAGCCTTCCTGCCTTCCTGAAGTCTCACACACTCAACAAAAGCGAATATCTTTACCAGCTGTGACCATCATGAATTTCTAAATCTTTTTGTAATGTTTTTCAAGGACCCATATGATTTATCTGTACTTTGGAGATTCTCTACTATATCAGTGCAAATTTTGGTGTCATTTTGTTAACTGTGGATTTTTCAATGATTTTATATATGGTAGCAAAAAATGAGAAAAGGGGGGTCGTATCTGCGCCTCATCTAGATCTCTCCGGAGCTATCGAAGCTTGTTGGCTGCAATTTTGCTGCATTATGAGGCCATCCTCCCACTTTCCCTCATAAAAATTGCAGGCTGTTTTATAACTTCTCTGCTAAGTTACAAAATTTTAAGCTCAAAAATCCCAGTTTTTGCTTTTTAGGATCGCATCTAAATTTGCGAGAGTCGCATCTAAATTTTTTCGAGCTTGCTGATCCTCAAGGTCTGAAACTTTTTCTGTGGATAGCCTGGGCATCATGCTACAAAACCTATGCTTTCCAACCTCTCACTCTTTTCCTGGCCTTAGTTACGAATTTTCAAACTACCGTGCTCATGCACGTTTTTGACGTCGTTCTGGACGGCGCTAAAACGGTTTTTTCCACGGGAAAAACTATGGAAGAGGTAGGAAGTAAGCATCTTAGTCGAAAACATCTTTTGTAGTTCAAAAGTGTCATTTCTTTTCTCCCTGCAAAAATTTGTGTCGCATACGAGAATCGAATTTGCTGGTCTGAAGTATGCCCGAAAATTCGAAAAAAAACTTGCAGCATCTCAAACATTATTGAAGGTGTGTATGTGTGCTACAGATGCTGGGCGCACCCATTGGCCTAGAAATTCTGCTTCCGAAACCTCACTGAAGTTCTCACGCAGGTGTTTTTTGAGATTGACATTCATTTATGCAGATTACCTCGAGGAATGTGGGCAGGGGAGGTAAGGGGTATAAATGGGGAGGGCGGGGGGGGGGGGGGGAGGGGTCGTGCGGATGGGTACCCTCAAGGAGGGGTCGTAAATGAGGGTCCCGGATCGCATCAACACGCTTGACCCTGAGTCTCACTGACATAATTTACTCGGATAGTATTCGAAAATCGAATGATATTCGAAAATCGATCATCATTCGAGAACCGAATAATATTCGAAATTTGAATATGGAATGATATTCGATATTCGAATATTATTCGATTCGAAAACTTCCATTTTCGAATAATATTCGATAGTCGAATATTCGAAATTTTCGACTTTCGAATAAAATTCGATAGTCGAATATTTGAGAAAAATTTCGAATTTATCAAAGTATAGTGTACATGCATAAAGGTAAGGGAAATGCCATAGTTTGTCGGCAACTGTGTTTGAGGTTGCCGAGATTGTCGAAGTTGCCGAAGTCAGAGACAGCTTAGAAAGGCGAAACGTAGAGGGTTGTTATGAGGTCCTACAACCTCGGCAACCCCGACAAGCCTGGCAAGCAAAGGCACCCCGACAACCACGCAACCTCCACAGTCGCCGGCAACCTATGACCGTTCCCTAACGTGCGTACGGGCGCAAATCGCACCTGACGCTAAGGGTTCCTTCATACTACGCCGCAGGACGCGGCGTGCTGCGGCAGCTGCTGCGTCCTGCGGCGTAGTATGAAGGAACACTAACCCGTAGAAATCATGACCACCTTCCACTCCCCCCCCCCCTCTCTCCTCCACCTGTCTCCCGCCACCTCCGTAATCCCTCTAACAATTTTCACCCCTCAGGAGAGAGGAGCAAGTACAAAATTGACAAATTTCACTAAATCTTATGCTCATGTGCAATGATTGTTGCGGGCCGAAAGCAATTATTTCAGGCGCGCATTGGCGCTATTTCCGAAACAATGACGGATCAGCAAGCAAAGGAGGTCTTTAAGGCGTACCTGAAGGAGAACAAGGTAGTTATTGATTGCAACTACTCATTATTTCGATTGATGTCTGTTTGATGTAAGGTACTCTTGGGGTAAATCGTAATCAAATTTGTCCTTTTCTACTATTCTCTTTCGGATTAATTTTCTGTGAGGAAGATTCTAACGAAGAGAGGCGGTTTTTTAGTCGTGGGATTCTAAACAGAATCGCTACGTGAGGCCATTTCGCACGGTACGAATGATTCGTAAAGCTAAACTCTACCAATCTAGTCATCTATCTTCACAAGTAATCATTGAGCGAAGTTTGAATCAAAGTGGTCCTGTATGGGATTTTCTATAGTAAGCACGGAAGTTGAACCTTTAGTGATAAAGATTGAGCACAAAAGCATTTGAATAAATTGTAATTCAGTGCGATTCTTCTGAGAATGTGTCTGCATTTACCCCATTTTAGGAGGCGGGTATCGATCTACTCTTGCGTCTCTTGCTATGGGAAAATGGAATTTCGGGCTTTTCTCAAAATGCTGATTAGAAAGACAAGACTTTAGAAATTTTAAAAAACGCCGAAAGGTTACCGCATCACATTGCTTTTCCTTATAAAGCAAATGATGCCGTACTCGCATCTAGCATTTTTTGAAAAAAAATTCGCGAATTCAACCTTACAATTGTGACACTTAACTTGTATGGTGCCAGTGAACGAAGTGAATATCATTTTTACAGACAGTAACTCTGATAATTTTTTTACGTAATTACTTCTGTTTTTTTCACTTCGTTTCGTGAAGTTCTTCAAAAAAACAATTATTTACCACACGACCACTGTTGAGCCGTAATTATGAAGGCAAAAAACGGCATAGTGTGAAACGGTAGGATTTCAAAAAGAAAATTCTAACCATATATGATTTGCTAATATATCTTGTAAAGGGCGACGGCGGCATCAAGGCGACGTCCAAGGTTGTGCGCAACTTGAATCGCATGGAGGACCCAAATGCCTTCTTCAAGGGAGCCGCTGGGTTCAAATCCATCCAGGTTTGAGAATCATTTGACCGTCTCTGACTTTATGTGCGTCCTACACCATTAAGATCGGCGGCAGAAAGGGTAAAACGGTGTTGCTGACTAGCGAACATGGGCAGGTGCATAGAGCGAATCCAAACGACAGGTTTGCACAGCATTTACATAAACTTTTTTTTGCGGAAGTCAACAAAAGTAAACAGGGGCTTTCGGATTGCATCATAATACCGTTGTTCAGGGCCACTTATTCTGCGGAAACATTTTCGCAGGTACCCAAAGTACAAAAAATAGCAAGATTGCGGCAGTGCCTCGGCGGTGACTATGAATGTCACGAACAGCTTGGCCGGCTCAATCCACAGCAGAAGGCACGGCTTAATAAGGTACTTCATTAAAGTTTACCTCGATCTGATGAGGTACTTCTTCATGACCACCACCTAATGAGAAACATCAGAGCTACAGATAAAACAACAACAACATTCTAGGTCTTCGGTGGCGCTGCAAAGTACGACAAAAGGATTGTCGATTACGCTACGAAACTTGCAGAGCAAATGAACGTACGCAATGATCCTGACGCTTTCATGTCGCTGGTGGAGGTGGTAGCTGCTGAAGCGAGAGGTAGCGATTAGCTCATGACACGTAAATGCACTAAACTGACTCCATGCGCTTAAAGGCAGCGGCACGGCAAAATGACAAATTTGGAATATTCATCGTTCTCTGTTCCCCTAGATGAGCTAAGTCCAAGACTGTGCTTTGCAGCTTCAAAAGATATCACTAACCCGCTTTTCCAGACGTAAAAAGTCCTATTTGGGCGGAACGCGTAAGCCTGCCCTCTAAAGCGCGTTTGGCTTGTGAGTGGAGACACCGCACCTACCACACCCACGAGCCAATCGCGCTCTAGAGCGCAGGCATACGCCGTCCGCCCAAATAGACTTTTCACTTCTGGAAAAGCTGGTTATTGATATCTTTTGAAGCTGCAAAGTACAGTCTTGAACTTAGCTCATCCAGCGAACCGAGAACGATGAACATCCCAGCTTCGACATTCTACCGAGCCGCTGCCCTTAATGCTAGGTAAGAATGATTGGCAGGGACATTGGTGGAGGGGAGAGGCGAGGAAGATCTTGATTCGGTTAGAGTATATAAAAATAGGTTTTGCAGGCAACAGAAACTTTGACTTCAACAACACCGCTGATTTCCAGCGCAATGTAAATTCCGACCTTGCTCGGATTCACAAGTTGGCAGCATCGAAGCGCCTGCGATTCGCCGACGACTTTAAGGCGAGATTTTCAAGATGTCTTATGAGCATTAGTCTTTTGCCGTTATGGATGTGCAATGTGACTACAGTAATTGAATGAATAGTTAAGGCGCTGTATCATTTCCGCAAGCACGGTGCTGAATTTATGGAAATGTGTGAGCTCAAATTCTACCTCGGCAAACTACCGAACGACATTCGTGCAAACGGCAATCTCACTGATGTCTGCGACATAAAAGTTGTTGCACCGGTAAATTTTAACAAGTCATGGGGATTTTTCTGCGTTTTCGTAGGGGATAACTACACTCACAAGGAGAGGATACTTAGTCGAAAGCACCGATCCAGATGAGACATACATCATCGTGACCTGCTCGGAGCGCTGATTTCAAATCTGGCAAAATCAGCTGCGGAGCGCCTTTGGGTGAGGAGCTATGACCGTTTCAAGAGCCAAAAATTGAGTGGGTAAAGAGAGTGAAATTGATTGTTACAACATGTATATTTCGCAGATAGACTCGCTTTGAATGCGAGTATAGCAGACAGACTTTTTTCTTTGCGCAGACTAATTTGACAGACATCGCTCCCCCATTCGAGCTATACTGGAGACTTCTGCGTATAATTTTTTTCTTCCCTCGACTCAAATTTTCTTCACAAAAACCCATAACTCGTTATCCAAAGGCGCTCCGCAGCTGATTTTGCCAGATTTGAATTCAGCGCTCCGAGCACGTCCAGATGATATATGCCTCATCTGGATTGGTGCTTTCGACTAAGTATCCTCTCCTTGCCAGTAATGTACAAAAAGCGGATTACAAATTATAACAACGTACATTCAGTCGCACCGCTTCCTTCATCCATGAGTGGTCCATCTCACAAGGAATGCATGTTTAGTCGAAATGGCCTTTCAGATGCGATGTATACCCTATTGAAGGGCATAATATGCTGTCTAAATCTGCCTTCCTTTCTTGCAGAACGCTTATGGACGAGGAGTTATGAGCGCTTATTGGAGCAAAATATTTATTGTGCAAGTACAATAATAGCCGTAATACTTTTTCTAGCTCTTCAACAAAACAGTGACAATCATTAGAGCACTTTCAAAAAATATTGGTTGCAATATTTGAGGGCTGTTAAGGTTTTAGCAACTCATTTTATTCAAAATTCACATTCAGTTTTTGACTCCAACAAACGCTCATAACTCCTCGTCCATAAACTTTGGGGAATCCGTGTTTTATGCCCTTTTATATGGTATACATCTCATTTAAAAAGGCCACTTTGACTAAACAAGCTTCCCTTGTCAGTACAACATATGAATGCCAAACTGAAGTACTACCTTAAGAGTTCTCTTCTAGGACGGTGCCGTAGATATGTTCACGCGTAAAACGTACTACAAGCCGGACGACTCAATGCTGGTGGTGATCGAGAAGAACGGCATGGAGAAGATCAGCACTATTTACAAGGATGCGGGTGAGCATCTGGGCATAATTATGAAGCCGTCACACTGCCTTTTTCCATGCTAGTATACTCTTCGTGGTGCACAGCGACTTGAAAACGGAAGAAGTTTGAAAATGGTAAAAAATTCATGTACTTCAGGAGGCTGGAAGCAATTCGAATCTCGCTTTAACGTCACCAACATTTCTACGCCCGAGATTGCGCTGGGGAAGTTCGCTGCGCTTGCCGGTCTCTCTAGCTGGCAGATGAAGCTACACAGCATGGAACATGGAAAAGTCTGGGACAGCCTTGACGCCTGTTCTGTCGGTGACAGAGACCTTATCGCGAAACTGGTGTCCATTTTGGTGCATGAACAGGTCGAATTTCTCGACAGTAGCGAGGACGAGGGTTTCTATGATGAGTAAATTATCAGCATGTACCTACCACGACGTAAAATTATTTACAATATTACTGAATACGCTATGTATACACATTTTGTGCCTATCCTAGTACCATAAACTGATAGCTGCCGAATTACTGTCTTGAATTTTGTTTTGGAAGAGCTGCACTTTGTAAAACCTACGATTCTCACTCCAAGCTTGGAGCTATGTTGCCAAAGCAAATAAAATAAATTCTAATTGCATAGCATAAGCGAGCATTGATGAGCGAGATTTCCAACTACAACGCCTATGCTAGTATCATTAACTGTTACTATTTATCAAACTGATTACCCATTTAGGACTTATGGCACGGTCGTGTTGTGCGAAAATATTAAAATGTATAGCTTTTTCTGCACTTGCTTCAACGCTATTCATCTTTTGCGAAGCACAGAACATTTTGGATAGTCTGGAGTGAGAATTTGCAGGCCTTAAAAAGTAAACCTCTTTCAGAATAATACCCAGTGTCATTTTCCATCCTTTGAAGTTCCAAAAGTCAGTGATTAGAAATGGTTCCTGCCCTAATATTGCCAACTTATTTTCACTTTGACAATACGTGTTAATTTTCACAGCATTTGACACAAGAAATAAACGCTCATAAGGATGCACCTATTATAAAAGTTGTTCAGGATGGAGGCTTGAAAAATTTTAAAAGTTGTTTTGATGGAGGCTGATTTTAGATGGTAAACTCCGTGTGCTACAATCGCTACAGCAGCCGTATCTTTCTTCCTTTTCTTTCGCTTTTATTAGGTTGGTACTAAGTAATGTAACTTTACCTATAAGTTCTCTCTTTTTGTTACTCGTATTCAGCGCGTAATTCCCTCTCTGCAAATCAACAAAAATTAAGGTTCCACCTGCTAAGTATTGGCGGGTGTTTGCAATTTCACAGAAGGCGTTTGTTTGATTTCCTGAAAACGCCAGAGCTGCATTTGTCTTGAATGTGTATTTCTTGTTTAGTTTAGTGAACCAACCTCCTCTAGCAACGCATAGACAACTGGATCGCTGTGCATGGTTGATCTAGGTCGGACACGGTTTCTTATTTGCTTCGAACCCATACAACCACTGGACCAGTCCTTAGAGAATGCGTAGATATTTACTCTATTTTGTGTGAAAGGAGCAGTGCGTTTTCGTTGGGAAATTTTCGATGGCAATTATCGATTCAGTGATTTTTTGCATTACGCTCTGCGGAAAATCGGCGGGAGCGGCAGGAGAGCGTGCTGATTACAAATAAAATATTCAACTTCATCCCTCTATTGATTTGTTGAGATTTTTTTTGCACTTTTGTTAAATGAGGTGGAAGAGTGCGCGGGGATTTGTTTAGTCGCTGAGCATTAGATATTCTTAAGAACAGTAATTGCCCTAATCTGCACTCAAAATTGAACATCGCAAGCGGGCTTGAAATTTTCGAAGCCTTCGACACCCTTATTGCTGCGTAACGGCCGTTTAGCGGCTAGTAAATTTTATAGAAATAACATACTCCTAGGTCTGAGAAGGGAATTCGATACTTTGAAATGACAGCTAGCACCACCATCCGTCCGCTATTTGGATTTTACGAGTCCCGCCAACTAATTTGAGCGTACCCAAAAAACGATTAAACGAAGAGTGGTATTTGAGTAGAGGAACAACTACTGCCATATGTAGCCGTCTCCACTGCCTACTACTCCTCACACCTTAAAGGCAGTGTCTCACCAGAGATTGTGTCTCGGAGTTATTGCGAATTGCAAGGCTAGCGACCTTTATAGCCCTGTACGGGCTCTAATTTGCGCAAAAAGCCCAGCAACCTCGTTTTACGAAGCTCCCGTAGAAGCAACGCGGACGCTGCTTCGCCCTAGTTCTGGTCGCAGAGTTGAACATGTCAAAAAGGATGGCTTCGTCTGGAAAGACGTTTTAACACGGTAGAAGAAACGGACAAGTCGTCCAGCGCGCGCAGAAATGCCCGCGAGCCACTTTGAGCTCAATTTTCTCAGTGTAGAAGAGCACAAAAGACTTGGGCATTGGCCAAGTAAGGGGTCCCCCAATGAAGTTAATAAAAATCTAGTCTACCTCAAATCTGGTAAGACATTGCCTCTAAACAGCAGCGTGAGCGAAATGATCCTTAAAAAACACATTTTTGTCATACCTTCACACGAACGACATTTTCGCATTTATGAAAGTACTAGCTGGCTTACCCGGCTCCGCCGTATCCGGACCAAACTTGGCACACATACACTTCGGGCCCCGGCGGGTGTCACAGTCCACTTTTCGTTATCGATCGATGTCGATTTTACCGATTTTTATCGATTTTTTTGCAGAGTTCACCTACAGGGCTAGGAGTTGGCACAGGGGGGGGGAAGTGAGCATGGGGATTCCGAATACAATATTAGTTTTCAGAATCATCGATTACTTTTATTGATTTTATTGATTTTTTGTAAATTTTGACATGCGAGGCTGGGATTTTGCACAGCGGGGTAATCGAGCATGCTGATTACGAACACAATATTAGTTTTCAGGATCGTCCATCACTTTTATCGATTTTTTTGTAATGTTTGACCTGCGGGGCTGGGAGTTTGCACAGGGGGTAATCGAGCATGCAGATTACGAATACAATATTAGTTTTCAAGATCGTCCATCACTTTTATCGATTTTATCGATTTTTTGAAAATTTGAGCTAGGGGGCTGGAATTTGGCACAGGGGTGTAATCGAGCATGCTGATCACCCCCCTTGGGGATGATCAGCATGCTCGATTACCCCCCTGTGCGAACTCCCAGCCCCGTAGCTCAAACTTTGCAAAAAAATCGATAAAATCGATAAAAGTAATCGATAATCCTGAAAACCAATATTGTATTCGGAATCCCCATGCTCGATTACCCCCCTGTGCGAACTCCCAGCCCCGTAGCTCAAACTTTGCAAAAAAATCGATAAAATCGATAAAAGTAATCGATAACCTGAAAACCAATATTGTATTCGGAATCCCCATGCTCGATTACCCCCCTGTGCCAACTCCCAGCCTCGTAGGTGAACTCAGCAAAAAAATCGATAAAAATCGATAAAATCGATATCGATCGATGACGAAAAGTAGCCTATGACACGCGCCGGGGCCCGAAGTGTATGTGTGCCAAGTTTGGTCCGGATCGGTTCAGAAATGGAATTTTCTATTCGGAACATACGTACATACATACATACATACATACATACATACAGACAGACAAACAGACATTCAGCTTTATATATAAGATAACAATACCCCTGTTTGTTTTTAATCTTTCGCTTCGGACCAGGGCTCGTTACGAGCTGGCACCGGGGAAACTTCAAAACGAAGTCCCTTTTGATCTTGAAAATTTCCTACGGAGTCCCCTTTGACCCTATCAAAACGTTTAAAAACTCTCAAAAGAAAACGTCGACTAAAGAAATGGAAGGAACTGCAAAATTCCGTTCATCTAAAACGAAACAAATAAATCGCTCGGGTTGCTGTTGGCTGAACGCACGCGAGCGTGCCTGCAAAGCGGCTATCGAGTACGGGCGCTATGATAACTCATGCGCGCGAATGTCATTGGTAGCGCGCAAGAGACACGCTCGTGGTCGCTCAGTCCGGGCGATTCCGTGCAGTCAACTATACAACATTTCGAAGAACAATACAAGAATAAACGATACAAGAATACAAGGACGGCAAATAATGAAATGAACCAAGTGATAAAATGAAACCGGCGGAATACGCGTTGCATTTTTTGCAGGAACACTATATTAAGCAGGAAATCTCCTCGACTATAGCTCTACGTCCTAACATAGTCCTGCGTGACATCGCCATGCAGCCTCATAAACGACACGAACGACCGAGCTGGGCGAGAGCGCCTCATCTAGATTAACGAAGGCTACTAAGGCGGTATCTTATATATAAAGCTGAATGTCTGTATGTCTGTCTGTATGTCTGTCTGTCTGTATGCCTGTACGTATGTGCGGAATAGAAATTTTTATTCCTGGACCGATTTGGACCAAACTTGGCACACATATACTTCGGGGCAGGGAGCGTACGAAAAGTAGCCTATGACACGCTCCCTGCCCCGAAGTGTATGTGTGCAAAGTTTGGTCCCGGGCGGAGCCGGGTTTGCCATCTAGTTTGTTCCTATACCTAGATGCCACTCCTCTTTTCAAAGCGATTTTTATTATTTGGAGGAACTCGCAAAATTGAAATAGTCGTCGGGTTTGGGGGTGCAACTATTCTACCCTTCTAAGTAAAAACAGTTTGGGTAGTATGCGTACATCGTATACTAGACTGCAACGAAGTTATCTGGTTTTTTCGATTGGAAAGCAGTAAATTTCCATAGAAATTGCTCTCCAAAACTTGAATAATTTGTTAAAAATTCTCGTTCAAATTGGAGGATTTGTTTCTTTCTTCTGCTTGTAAAACTAAAGCACTTGTCTGTCATAGAGACACAGTCTGCAAGAGCGCGAATGATTAGCTTTATTTACAAACTTATTTCCTAGAACGTAAGCATATGAAAAGGGAACTGAAACTCGTAGGAGCCTGGTATGTTTCAAACCTTGACGTACAAGCTATAGTCACAATTAAAGAGCGTAAAATCCTTTACACATTGACTTTACTGTTTTTGAGCTTTATGAAGATGATAGAAAATTACAGCAAAAGTAAGTTATATGCCGCAGTGTTCATTGTGTAAATTCTGGCTTTTTTCTGAAGTATTCCCTGACGAAGCAGTACCATATCGCATACAATTGTCCAGGAATCCAAAACATCAGAGTAAGAATGGCATCGATGAGAACTTCATTTGTGCATTCTTTCGTGGAGTGGAGAACTGCCAGTGGCTGAAATTAGGCAATAGGAGCGCTGCTATGATAATGGAAAAGTCTAAACTTACTGGCATGAACACAATAAAGAAAACTTCCAGGATTTTGCCGATCACTCTAGATCTGTCCATGTCCATTTTCTGCAACAAAGCCATTTATGAAATGAAGTACCAGTGCTGTCACATGCTGCGTGGAATTTTTTGTGGATTTTTATGTGAAAAAAAAGCCAACTTATAGATCACTCATGGTTTTGAAACAAGGTTACTAAAAGCCGCGTCAGATTAGATTTTAAATGAAAAATTATAAAGAGACTAAAGAGAAGTGATTGTCCTGTCGATGGCTACTCCTTTATAGTCATTCCATATTTGCAGAGTCATCGCTAGCACCGATGAATTAGAAAGTGAATCTTTTATGGACTGGAACAGCCAGTATCGCTTGTGATTAACAGTAAACAGCTTCTGAGTTATCACCATCCCAGACATTTTTATCAGAAGCGCTTATGCGCTAAATTTACGGCACAAGCTGACACCGAATTTCTTGTTTTGGACAGCGTTGCCCCAGCATGCTGTAATCTGACAAATAAGTGATTGGCAATGTCTTCTTCTTCAAGAAATAATAGAGTATATCCCGAGTACTTAACGTAACATGAGTAAATGCTACCACTAGTAGAAACGCGAAGAAGCTTTGCTTTGTACAGAAGAGAAATGTTCAGTTTCTGATGCGTGGAATTTGCGGAAACGCCTAGGAAGTTTTGATAGAAGGTAGACTATCAGTTAACTGAACAAAAGCTTGATGCTTTTTATGGTACGAAGTTTATAGCAATATGTTCTTCGTATGTTGAAATGCTCTCAAATTTTTGTTTATACTATTCTCCATGGTTTCAAATGACAGAAAAGGAGTGCTATCAAGTACAAAGTAGTATATAGTACAAGTATCAAGTACATCTCAGAGAATTTTCGAGAGCTCTAAACGACACATATTACAGGATGCGTCAAAAGTTTGGGAGCTACTTTGCAACACTCTAGTTTGCGCCTATAAAAGATTTTGAACTTTTACCGCTTAATGCTGCAGTACATAGCTCTCTACAAAATAAACTTCTTACGGTTAGACCTCAAAATATGTGTTATATGGTTTTGTAAGAAATAAGATCATCAAGCCACTGCTTTTGCAATGCAAGAAAATCAAACTAGTACAGCTTATTCCGTAACTGCAGATATTGCGAATATTCTACACAAATTGATACCCACCTATAAAGAAGGTTTTGCGCGCTTACATCGTAGTAGTTGTACTTGCCAGAAGCTGTCAGGTTGTCCGTAAATTAATGCAGGTTCCTCACTCGATTGCGGCAGTGTTACTATAAAAAGGTGAGAAGCACATCATTCGATAGAGCAAAGCAACCCCTACAAGACATTAGAACAATCGCAAAAAGCTTGATCCACGTGAAGTTTGAGAGCCAAATACAAGAAGATTCAAATAACCAATACCAGATTTCCATCCAAAAGATCTTGCCAACTACTTGATCAAGTATATATTGTCCACATCATATGTACAAACGCGATATTTTTCTTCTGCGGTTAGAGATTGAGAAAATGAAGGTTGACAGGCCCTGGCAAGCTGAATGCTGAGCCAGTCTGACATAGGTAGTTCCATACTACAAAACCTTAAAAGTATAACCATAGATTTTCACCTTCATTTTCCTCCAAGGGCTAGTTTCCGAGAAATATTGAATTTAGCACAAAAACCTGAAAAAGGCGATACTTTCGCATTTTCAGCCCATTTCAATTTTCAGTTTTTGGCCATTGTAAAAATGCGATGAGTGTGCATAATGCTTGATATAGAGAGTATATGCGTGACCAAGCTGGAGGTCCGCAGGATCTCTTTTGGAAGGATATCTGATTTCTAGATACTTTAATTCTTTTTCAAACATCACGAGGATCAGACCTTTCGTTCTAATGCAGTCTTATAAAGGTTGCTTTGCTCTATGAAATGATATGCTTCCCACATTTTTATATTTATACTGCCGCGATCGCCTAAGGAAGCTTCATTAATTTACGGACAACATAATATATTCCTGTAAACGGAAAATGTAAATCTGCAAAATTATTACCGTGTCAATCATTTATCTTTGTAACGAAAAAAGCTATAGGAGCACTACAGTCACTGAATCTGTAAGGTTGATGCATAATTCTTGCATCAAAATTCTGGAAGCTACTTTAGTTTCGTCAGTTTCGATAAGATCTTCCGATTTGATTTATTAGGTGGTCCGAAAGTTCGTGCCATTTTTCAAACCTATCCACAAATCATTCAGACTGAAGATAAACAAACATCCTAGGAAGTGTTCTATGCAAAATTTCTTCCTCTCTTTAGCCGTAATGTTTTGTTTGGATTCCTTTGCTGTTCGCTTGAAAAATCGACATAATATTCAACCCATGGTTTTTGCCTACCCCAAATTTAGCTATTTTTCAAAATTTTCATTTTGGACTTCTGGAGATGCCTCGATAACAGTTAGATAGAGCAAACAAAATTCCATTTAATACAATTTTTTGGCATCGATAGCTCGCTTTCCAGTATTTTTAAAAACAAGTTTTCCAAAAGTCTTCACATTTACGAAGTTTTGAAATATACACAAACGCTTCAAACACCACGAAATCTTCGCAAATTGGAACTTTCAAGAATCGATTATGATTAAACACTAATTATAACAAACAAATGAGTTTTTACCGCCTCGAAATATTGATTTGTGAAATTTTCGGGTGCAGCCTGAGGCGGATCAAAAAACTAAAATTATGGCAATTTTCGCCTCGAGGGCTTTACAAATCGAAAGAAAAAATATCTGCCAGAAAGAGGAGAATAAGCTGCATCGAATGACACCCTAGCTGTTTGCCGTCTGTTGTTTCTGTTGTTCCACGAGATTTAAGATAAACAAATGACAAATTTGGTAGCATCAAAATGATAATTTTAGAAAATTTGCCTAGGTAGCTGTCAATGCGAAAAAAATGTTTTGAATAGAATTTTGTTTGCTCTACCCTAACTGTTATTAAAGCGTATCCAAAAGTCCAAAACCAAAATTTTGAAAAATAGCTAAAGTTGGGATAGGCAAAATCATGGGTTGAAGATTATGACGATTTTCCAAGCGAACAGCAAAGGAATCCAAACAAAAACATCACTGCTGAAAAGAGGAAGGAATTCTGCATAGAACTTCTTAAAGTGTTTGTTTAGCTTTAATCTGAATGATTTGAGGATAGGTCTAAAAAACGGCACGAACTTTCGGACCCACCTAATGCATTTAAGAGAAAAAAACCTGCTTTTCCGAATGACTCGAATCAAACCCTGTTACGTATGGCAACGATATAAGCTGAATAGAGAAATACCCAGAGAGCAATTTTGAAATTTTGTCGCTAAAATTGCTAAAATGTTTGCTGAATCCTAAATTTATTTGGTCTTGGTTTTATGACGTATTTTTTGACCAGAACAAGTTGGTTGATCGGATGTCACCAAGAATAATTTGTCGATCTCTTAAGTTAAACTTACTGATTTTGTTCCAAATTGACTTCTAAAATGTAGCATAGAATGCTATTGCACTTTAAATATACACAACAAAGAGAAGAATACTGTGTAGATTGATTAGTTTGTTTGAGCATTTTAAGGTATTTTCCCTAATTTTGGTGCAAGAATTGTGCTTCAACCTAATAATAATAAGGCTCTACAATATCACTCTCAGAATGTGCAAAATTTCCGTGAATGTCGCGGAATCCCGGGAAATCCGCGACCTTCCGCGAAATTCTGGAAGTTCCGCGAAATTCATGTAAATTATGCAAATTACGCAGGGCCATGACTTCTTTCAGAATGAATGTATTGTATTCAAAATCCGAAAACAGCGTTGTATTTAGCTCCTCAAGGCGAATATTTTGGTATACAGATTGTCTCCAATATCCTGTTTTCAATAATCTTGAATTTGCATGCGAACGCCTTTTCGCATGGGTGTAACGCGAAGCATCACAAATAGGAGACTGCGGTGGGCACCATTCGATAGTACTTTTTTCAGTAGATTATCCTGCGCTAAACAGCAACCAAAGACTCTTTCAAAAGAGATAGAAGAACCGATGAACTCAAGAAAAATCAAGCTATTCTAAGTTCTACTAGCCGTAAATTTCTTCAAAATGAACATTTTCGAAATCCGAAAGCAGATCCTCAAGATCTTATTGTATTGGATCTGGTGGCTGTGTGTGCCTGAGCCGCTTGGTTGAATATCAAAGCAGATTCGTGGCTAGAGCTCAAATCTATTTAATTAGTTCCAATACAGCAGGATAGATTCCTTAAGAAATGTGAACACAAAATTCGTGACCACCGTGTCCTACAATCACTTAGGTGGAATTTCTACGAAGCAGGCGATCTTTACATTTTGGGCAAAACTCATAAGGCGTGATATCGTAGGCCCGTAACTCTGCGAATACTGCAGATTGGAGCCAGATTCATGCAGCATTTAATAGCACACTTTCCAGTGAATTTAGCCTGTAGAGGCAAGCAAGCAGATTTTCTAAGAAGTGCTCGAAAAATGCAGGCGAACCTATGAACTTTCGTGGGTTAGATAGAGTTCCCATCACATCTCTGCTGGAAAACTCTGTACTCCGCGCAAAAGACGATTATCGTAAACAGCGTATTCGAAAACTCTTTGAGCGAAGTTTCCTCACAATCCAAGATCATCGACATTTTGACCAAAACCCATCGGCGAGCTTCAGCTTCCATTCGTAGAACGAAAATCAAATAACCCGAAATTCTTTGGAAACTGCTCATGGAGGTTATCTGACCTGCTGATTACGAAAATCACATTTGCTTAGCAGGAGAGCTTTCCATTTTAGAGTTACGTTGGGCAAAATTTGAAACAACACGATTTCTTCAGAATTCACCAGCTCTTCTATCTTTTTTTTTTTTTGAAAAAGATTCTTCAGTTGCTTTTTAGCGCTCGATAGTCTGCGGAAACAGCACAATCCAATAGTGCTTATTGGAGCCTTCACATTCTATGTGCGCTACGTTGCGACCTTGCGAATATACGCGCGCAGAAAATTTTGAAAAAATTGGAAATAGAATTTCAAGGACATGCTGTATACCGGAAGATTTGCCTTGAAGAGCTGATCAC